TCTATTTGACGATATATATATATATATATATATATATAGAGAGAGAGAGAGAGAGAGAGAGAGAGAGAGAGAGAGAGAGATGGTCTGGGCGATGGTCTACAGAGTCGACATCGTCATGTAGTTGTGGCTGCTGACGTCAACAAGTTGCATTGTCAATTCGTAGGCTGGTAGTAGCTGTGTGATTGTAGTCTGGGCGCTGAGCGCCAAGTAGGAGGAAGGCATCTGGATACGTATGTCGGTGGTGGTGAGAGTATGTTCTCATTGACATTCGGATTCGGTGCTTTGGTTCTCCATTGGTGGAACATCAGTGCATTTCTGCTTTCTGGACAGCGGTGGACTTTCTGGCTTTCAATGTGAATTTGCATTCTGGAATTCTGTCATTTCGCTATCGCTCGTTTTCCTTGCAGTAGTGAATCTACAAAATGGCGAACTTCAAATCTGTATATATCATACTAACGGTGGACCTGTGTGGCAAGCACTATGCTAAAAATATCAAACATGACTTACACAAGCATAAAAGGGTTAGTTTTTGGCTCTCACTGTTCAGAAGGTAAGATTTCTGCATATTTAAAAAAAAGGCGTATTCTGTTTATCACCGCAGCCAAAAGTTGCCCGAAGTGACAAATAGCGGTTTTCATAGTGTTGTAGATTTGGCGGGGCCGTTTAGCCGAGATGCATCCAAGGAAAATAAGGAAAAAAATAGGTTACCCTACCCATCATCCCCTAGCATGTCGGTCTCACTCACACAACCTGTTATCCACAGCGCTGTAAATATCGTCAGAGCATAACAAAAGGCGCTGCACAAATGGAACAGCGGCCGCCTCTTTTGCTGTATGTGCACCTCACTTCAAGTCTTTGCTTTCAATACTTATCATGTATGGTTTCACCACTTGATCAGAGTGTAATGGGTGTGGCCATTAGTCTGCAGGTACTGCTGGCTGCTTTGACACACAAACAATGTGAATAATGTGACGGTGTTGGGAAGAATGGTGTTCTTACTTTGTGAGAGTGATGGAGGGTGCTTTGCAAGGGGTGAGGTATAATCTGGCAGTGGTGGTTTTATGTGCTTTCTGCTCTGTGCAGGCACTGTACTAGGGGTAGGGCAGGGGTTGCGGTAGCGATGTCTGACTGACCGATTTTGTGTGGTAAGCTACGCACTGATAATAATGTGATTCGCTTTGTGCGGCGTATGTGCCTAAGCATTGCGCTGATCATGTGACTAAATGTGATTTGTACCGCCTCTGTATCGTTCATGTTCCGTCACGTTCCTGATCAATCCTTGCGGTGTGCTGGGCCTTCGTGTACTTCGTTATCTGCCATCCATTTGCTTACAGCTGGACATCATGGACCGTGGAACGGATGCACGGAATTTCCTACTGGGGAATGTCATTCCGTTGAAGCTTGGCTATATTGGAATTGTCAATAGAAGCCAGCAGGTAAGCAACTAGTGTGTTTGAAACTCCATCAGTCACAGTTGGAATTGGCATGAGGAAGCTCGAGGGGATCTTGACAAAATTTGTGGACAGCTAGCAATGGTTGACAAACCCCTTGCAGTACCTACAATCCCATGCTCCCAGAATTCTCCCCTTTTGCGCTCCATCGTGCAAAACAGAAAGTCTGTGATATAAACGCTTCATCCCACCATGTTAGACTCGTAAAGAAGAATAAATAAATAAAGAGGCCAGATTCTCAAGTCTGAGTCTTCCCGCTTGGACTTCGCTGAATGCATTTGACTACAATTGTGTGGCTAGATTCAGTTGCAAAAGTACTAGTATGAGTATGCTTGAAGCAGTTGCTGAACAATGAAATCGGACCTTGTGGCTATTATTTTTTTCTGACACACAGTTGCTCTTACATTCTACAAGATCTCATGTTTTGGAGATGCTCGAGTGTCCCGTGGGACTCTTAGTGAGCAAAGACTAAGTAGAGGTCCCCATATGGATGACACATGCTACCCCCTTGGGCATTTAACTTTGACGTTCCCGGCCGCAACTTTGTTGTGTTTTGGACCAAAGTCGTCAGGCTTACGGTGTTCCCGCTGGTAGGACCTGATGATTTCGGTTCACAAAATGCTGAAATTGCATCCGGTAACGGCTAAGTTGAATGTCCCAGCCTACCTTCTTCCCCCAATACAACAACACACGGCCATTATAGCTGTACTTGGGGTATCTTTCAGTCTTAAGTACAGCTATAATGACCGTATGCTATATTCGGGGGAAGAAGGTAGGGAGATAGGCTGCCTAGTGTATGCAGAATTTCCACCAATGCCATTCCCTGCACAAGGACTAAAACACTGGTAGCTACATAATAAATGAGCATCTACTAATAATGGTCTTCCTTAGAGCACAGATGGATTAAACAAAATGAAATAAAATTGCAGGCTTTGTAAGAAGCAATATTAAAAGAAACACACAATATTTTTTGCACGAGAGAATGGAATTAATCATTAATGAGATAATAGTAACAGTAGAAGTTATGTACACTGCCAAGGAGGCTTTGAATACTGAATTGGAAGGTGGAAGTTGAACGAGGATACGTTTCAGAGTGGTGGACCAGAGTCCGTGATTAGAGCACCAGCCGTGCGTATCATACGGAAGGACTTCCAAAAGGCCAAGCAGTAAAGGGATTGTCATTGGAGTTGCAGCATTGTAAAGGCAGTCATTATTTCATGGAGCAGTAGCCGATCGGTTAGCCATGCAAATCATTGCAATCTTACTCATACATCACTGCTGCTGTGGCTGTTGCTGTGTTGTTGCAATTTCAAAAAAGGCTATGTCGTCGTTTCAACTATGGGCTTGGTTCCGAGCACCTTAATGCCAATCATTACTTCGTGGAGGAGTTGCAAAATAGCTGCTCGTGCAAATCATTGCAATCTTAGACATGTGGCTGTTGCTATCTTGTCAATGTGTCAAACTATTCAACTATCGGCTTGGTTCCAATGGGATAATATGCGGAGATCACTGCGTTTTGCATACTGCTATTTTGGCACAGTTTGAATCTCTATTCAAGTGTTATGTGCCTGATTGAAACGAAATCCAACATGGCAGTCACAAGTTCCCATACACATGCGCAATGGGAAGTGGACTTGAGAGAGCAATCCACACCAAACCATATGAGGAAATAACACAGCCACACCAAACCAGATGAGGAAATAACACAGCGGAAGCACACAAATACCCAACGTAGAATTGAATTGAAAATCAATTCTAATTACCGACTCTCCCCAATTCAAACAGCAACACACGAATTCTCCCAAGAATCCCAACCACGTTATCAACACCCACGGACCAATTGTTTACAAAGTTTCATCGAAGCTTCCGGGAGCCTTCTTCTTCCTTCCTGGACATCAAGCTCTCGCTATGGCGCCACTTTAACTTACAGTGCCCAACCTATCCAGGCCGTGAGTCGCCACACACCCTCCTGAATCCAACTTGCCCATTCGCACCACTTACGAAGCCCACTGCCGATGAGGTGTTCACGAAGCCCGCTGCAGATGAGGTGTTCACTCAGCAGTGTAGCGCAGCTCCCAGGACGAAGAAGGGGAACACCAGCTTGATGAAGAAGATGGTCGCCTGCCAAGTCGAAGAATAAACTCATGAAGAAACGGCTCCGATGGCAGCTGACATTACCCCAACAGCACACCAGTATGAGGAACCGCTCATCAGCATTTGGGCGCCGAGCCCAGCGCTGTCACCAATGGAGCTGGCCGGCCCCAGCTATGGCCGCCAACGGCGTGTGGAGAAGATGCCCTGTGTACATGCCCACAATAGGGCAGCAGGGAAGCAACGCGACCTCCACCAAGGCCTCGAAAAGAAAAAGCAACGAGAAGACCCGAACCACCTCGCTGCTGACCTATTTCTACACCTCGACCTCAGCCTAGGGCAGATCAAAAAGCAAAACCTAAGGGCCTACTCAGAGAGCAGCAGCAAAGGACAAAAGGGACCTAAAGCTACCAGGAGAGAGAGGAGTTCCAGTAAGGGACAGGTCAAGGGATCAAGCCCCATGGGGCTCAAAACAAAGAAAACTACTGTACAGCCCCACAGGGAAACTGCGATTTATTGCACAAGTCTGGTGACTTGCTTTCACTACGAAATTCAAAAATGTGATTGCAGTGAACATTGCACGTTAAAAAAACAAAGAAGAAAAAAAAGGGCAAAAGGAGATTGCACGCCACTGCCCGAGTATGCTCCTGCTGTGCTGCTGCTCTTTCATCTCTGATGTACCATGCAACCGCTGCACGGATTCACAGAAAATATGGAACAGCAAGGACATCCGGTATTTGAGTAATGGAGTGCTGCCATTGTAACATTTGTCTTGTGCTGGGTGAATAGAAGACGGTTGCAGAATACAACTGGGTCTGATTTGCTGTCACTGAGTCAGACATTGTGGTGGGTATGTGTTTGACAATGATGTTGGATTGTGTGCTGGTCTTGCCCCTTGTTGCTGGCAGTGGCCTCTGCGCCGTTGTGGTTGACCTTGTTCCCCCCCTCTGATCTACAGCAAGATAAAGGGGGATCCTACCTGCAATCCAATGTATTAGAGTTCACGAGTTTATCTTCATGATCCTCTATTCTTGACATAAACTTGACGAACAGAGAAATATCAGCCGCATGAACCTCATCCGATCTACAGGAGGATAAAGGGGGATCCTATCCGCAATCCAGTGGATTAGAATTCGTGAGTTCGTCCTCAAGATCCTCTATTCTTGACACAGACTTGAAGAACAGAGAGAAACCAGCTGCATGAACCTCGTCCGATCTACATCAGGACGGGGGGATCTTGCCTGCAATCCAATGGGTCGGAATTTGGGACTCGGTTCTTCCAGATGCTCTGTTATTGATATGGACGCAAAGGACAAACCTCACTAAGTGTAGCTCGAGTTTGAAATCATTCCAGTGCATCAGAGAAGAGATCCCAGCAACATCCCCCCTAAACTATCCCTATAGTGACACTGCTGTTTTGAGTAACACACCCTGAAGGTTTGGATGGGTCAAGGGCAGGGTTGTTTTGGTGCCTACCAGTCAGGTGGACCCGTAGGCGGACCCGTCGGCGGTCGGCAGACTGCCTAAATTTTTTTATTTTCTTTTTCTGATTACATGGTCGTGTGCGGCTTAAGGAGAGCAGCCCAAAACCGCAATAAATTTTTTGGGGGGTGGTGGGGGTTATAGGGGGAGGTGTAGGGGGGTTATTGGGGTTTGCAGGGGGTAAAGGGGGGTGCATGAGGGTGTTAGGGGGCGGTATGGGGGTGTTGGGGGGGTCTATGGGGCTGTGGATGGGGTTATTTGGGGTTCTGGACCCAAAAAAAATAATACTATCTGTAATAAGTTGTTGCCGCCAACTCGCGTCCAATTCTCTAATTTCACGGAAGTTGCGCTCAGCGTCACACTTGGGATCTCCCTGCCTGACCCCTCAGACTGTCAATGTCGGAAAGCGTTTCCTGACTGCTCACACTTAGTCGACGGCCATGTTGTTACAGCCGACTGCGATATCATTCCTGATGATCGCCTCCGCGACTTGTTCCATGAAGGCTCGAAGTATCGTCTTAATGGACAAATCGCTGATGTGCTTCAGGCTGTTAGAGTCGGCCTTGACGAGTATATTGCTAAATACCTGAGGTCGGTCTCCGAGCAGCTTCGGTCAGCTGCTCTGAGCAAATTGCAGCAGTGGTGCTCAGCTGTTCTCACACGTTGCGAAAGCAACATCTCATCCCCCCATATTACTACACGACAACCGCACTCTCTTCACTCAGTGCACAGGGCTTTGAGACACCTTCAACAACACTTTGCTATTGTTCCTGTCGACAAGACCTCACATAACTTAGAAATCTGTTGTAAAAATTGGTACCTGTCTCATCTATCTGCTCATTTGGACAGCCCTACCTATGATGTGCCTCTTGAGTCTGTCGCAGATATTCTGGAACATCACGCGCTCTGGAATCATCGGTGGGGATATACACACAAAGACACGCTGCCATATCTGTACTATGCACTTAAAACACACAAATCGCACCCTGGGCTTCGCAGTATTGTCGGCGTCACAGAGCGGAATAATCTCTCCCTGCTGCAACGATCTCGACCAACTGTGCCATCTGTTCATGCAGTCCACCATCGACCTCCCCACAAMCCCTTGGCCAGTACTACCGTCACTTCTGCCCGCCTCAGCGTTGCACTACAAGGAGTCGTTGAAACTCTCCGTGAGAAGGATAATGTGTTGTATCAGCAAAGCGGTGTGAGATGGTGCTGGATTGTGCAAAGTGCTGAGGAGGTGATGCTTGATTTCACAACTATGTATACCAATCTTCCTCATGACCGTATTTGTCATAATGTTTCAAAAGCGGTCGAGGAAGCCTATACATATGCCTTACAACAGCACACACAGGGCCCAACAGCACACACAGGGGCGCACACATCCTCCTACCCTTGAGTTGATTGTTAAAGGGCCCCGTCAAGGGGAGTGGACGGTTGATACCGGACCAAACACCTTGACCGTTTCCCAAATTCTTGAACATCTCCATTTCATTGTCACAAACACTTATCTTTATGCAGCGGACGGCACCTTGCGACATCAAGTGATTGGCATCCCGATGGGGACTAATTCTGGTCTGGAGATAGCTAATTTGACGTTGTATTGGGATGAGGCCCGATGTGTTGATGACCTCCAGCGGCGTGATCTTCGCGCAGCTCAACGGTATGCGTTCACATACCGCTTGATCGATGATGTTCTCTCATGGGGACATCTGCCACCACCGTCAGAGCACTATGGCCTCGAATGGAAGGAGACCACAACGCCTGATGGCTCTTGCACATTCTTGGGTGCACGCCTCCAAGTCCGCCCTGACGGCTCCCTGCGAATGAGTGTCTTTGACAAAGCAGCTGAATGGAATTTCCCTGTTATTCGTTATCCTAGTGCTACATCTAACGTCCCTGCACACCAGCCGGCGGGAGTGTTTACAGGCCAGCTTGCTAGGTTTGAGTATGTTTGCAACAACTGCTATGATTTCAAAACTGCAGCAGCGATGCTCACACGCCGCATGCTTTTTCGCGGGAACTCTCCAACAACGCTTGCGAAAGGATGGACTTCCTATATTCGTAAACGTCAACACAGGTACCCTGCGCATGTGACCCGCCTCTCCAGCTGGTTCCGCAGCATGCTTCGATGGTCTATTCATCACCCGCTTTCTCGGGTATCTACACACTGCCCTCGGACTACGCCTGTCACAACCCCTTCTTCATTATCGGCGCCTGTCACACCTATCACAGCCTCTTCTTCATTACCTGCGTCTGTCTCACCTGCGTCCTCATCAGTCTTAGTAACCCTTTCCATGCCATTTGTGACCCTGGCTGCCCCTTTTCGGTTCGCAGCCTCTTCCTCATCGGCCTTGGTTGCTTCTACGATTGATTCCGCGGGAGCAATTCGACCCTCAGCTGCTGTGTCGCCCTTGGTCTCGGTGTGTTCCTCCATGGCATCCGTGGCCACCGCAGCCGTTATGTCGCCCTTGGTCTCGGTGTGTTCCTCCATGGCATCCGTGACCACCGCATCTRTTGTGTCGCCCTTGGTCTCRGTGCGTTCCTCCATGGCATCCGTGGCCATGCCTGCATTACCACCTGCAGAGTCCCCTCTTCGGGTCTCACCTACGACTGCCCCCCCTATCTCTGCTTCAGCCACTTCACCACCCCTAACTTCATCCCCCCCGTCTTCACCGCCTTTATTTCCTTGATTTTATCGCCGTCTGTTACCCACCTTCCGACTACTCTACCACCCTTGTCTTCACCACTCCTACCTGCCCTGGTTTTGTCTCCATCCGTTACCCCTCTTCCTAATCCACAAACCACTTCGTCCACACAGACTCCGTCATCATGTTCTGCCCCTGCAGAAAGCCTACTTCGCCGTCCTAGACGCCGACTTCGACCTACTTCCCAACCTCAGCTTACTCCCCTTTCCTCCATATCTGTTCTTGGACGAAGAAGAACCCATTCATTCTCCCCACCACGACCCTCCCCAACATCCCGTCCCCGTCTTTTGCCGCCCCAAGCATCCTTACCACGCCTGCAACGCTCTTCGACTGCAGACCTTTTTGCAACGCGGCAAACACAAAACGGGAGGGATGATGGCGAGGGACCATCTGAGGATGAACTTGGCAAGGGGACTGTAGGAGATTCTGTAGAAAATCCGCCTGACCGGCCTCCACCGAATCTGTGTGGCCTCGCTGCTACTAACATCTGYCTACAAGCCTATCGTCGGGAACCATATACTCACTCTGATTTCTTGGCCATTGCTTCCGATCTTGATGCTCAGGAACGTGAGTTATACGACGATAACCCGGCTCTGCATCCCCCACAGGATAGTAATTACACGCGACATGGGGGATTCAATGTCTCTGTTTTGGAGACTGCTTTGATAAGGCGCCGGCTTGATATGCAGCGTGCCCCTTCGGGTGGTGACCCGGACCACTGTTCGCACGTTTGTGCCTATATTCTACATACTCCTGGCCGCTACACTTCTCTTGTCCGTGCCTCTGGTTCTTGGGAATTATGGAATGGTGGTGCTATGGTGCAAACTATTACTGCCATCTGTGATCTCGTGCGTAATTACCCGAACTTGCAACTGCTCCAGGTCATTGACCCTATGGGTACCTCGTGTACTTCCATGCCCGCCTCTACGCCTATCTCTGTGCCTGTCTCCGTACCTGTCTCTGTGCCTGTTTCTATGTCTGTCTCCTTCCAGATTACTGACCCTATAGGTACCTCGTGTACTTCCGTCCCCGCCTCTGCACCAGTCTCTGTGCCTGCCTCCGCACCTGTCTCCATGCCCGTTTCTGTGTCTGTCTCCATGCCCGTTTCTGTGTCTGTCTCCATGTCCGATTCTGTGTCTGTCTCCATGCCCGTTTCTGTCTGTCTCCGTGCCTACCTCCATGTCTGTCACCGTGCCTGCTTTAGTCTTCATTCCCCCGCATGCTGCACTAACACCTTGTGACCTCCTTCTTTGTGAGATCACTGACACAGTTACACTTGGTTGTGGAAAGCATCGACTTTGTCGACATCACTACAACCATATAATTTTTGGGCCCACTGTCGGCAGGGATGCCACCTGTATCCGGATTGTGAACATCCTCTGCATCCAGATGCAGTATGTCCCATCTGTGCCTACGGGCGCTAAAGCGAATGTGCACTTAACTGTGATGGTGAACGCCCCACAATGGTCATGGCCTGCAACCGGCATGCCCTCTGCCATGCATGCTTCAGAGGTATGGTCGATGCTAGCCGTCCTGGTTCCTGCTGTGACGAATGGTTTTTGTCCTATAGATCAGCGGGAGGGCTGCTACCATCGCCCGCATCCTTATGATAGTTGTCCTATCTGTCGTGAGGGTCTTACTTAGATGTACCTTGCACCCTGACAAAAATGTGCAGGTGCGCTGAAAAGAGTGTACAAGAATGTGCAAAGGTGGGAAACCCTTCACTAAAACTGCAAAACAGTGAAGACTGCAGTAAAAGAAGAACATAAGTTTGTGTCGTTTTACTTTGTTTGTACCCTGCACCCTAACACCTCAAAGTGGTAGACTCTTCACCAAAACTGCAAAACTGTGAAAGAAAGAAGAACGCAGTAAAAGAAAGATGTTTGTGTCACCCTTATTTTATTTTTATATTTTTTCTCCCTCTGCCTATCGATTTTCCTTTTCTGCTCCTCTCTCCCTTGTGTTTGACACCTCTTCCTTCACTCTGCCTCTTTCCCATAGCGTGCAAGTGGGCCTGTCTCTTATACACATCTAGATGTGTATAAGAGACAGGTGCAACAACCATATAATTTTTGGGCCCACTGTCGGCAGGGATGCCACCTGTATCCGGATTGTGAACATCCTCTGCATCCAGATGCAGTATGTCCCATCTGTGCCTACGGGCGCTATAGCGAATGTGCACCTGTCTCTTATACACATCTAGATGTGTATAAGAGACAGGAGGAGGCGTTAAGAAGATGAGAAACTGAATGATTTCAATGTGTCTTTGTTTTTTATTTTTATCCTTTGATTCAGTGTAAATATTTTTTGTAAAACACTGAAAGAAATAATCATACTTTGAAACAAAGTGTCATTCTGGTTTGCATGTCTCTTTGCCTGTCTGTCCTTTCGTTGTTCTTTTCTTTGGCCTGTCTGTCCTTTCGTTTTTCTTTTCTTTGCTCATCTTATTTCTTCTTCTACTTCACGTGCTCATGCTCTTAGTCAATAGTTCTGTGACAACTGCCTACGGTTTACCGGGCAGTTCTATTTGACGATATATATATATTTGACGATATATATATATATATATATATATTCTTTTTTTGCGGGGTGCCTACTGGTCGGTGCCGACGATGCCTACCGTCGGCTGGTCGGCAGCCGACGGGGTCGCCGACCGTCGGCATGACTACCCTGGTCAAGGGTAGTTATACCCAACGTCAGGCAAAATCCAGTCCCGACGTAAATAGTACTGTGATCCTGGGATTGTGGCCTCATATAATTGTGAAGTTCAGCCAGGGTTTTAGGCGGACTAGGCAGTGTTGAGAGGTGTAAAGGGGGCCAAGAGGGTCCAGAGGGCGGGATAGATTTAGGTGGAGTCTCGAGTGCTTTGTGGCCCTTAGTCAATGGAAGCACTGTGTGGATCTTAATTTAGTTACTGGGTGGCTTCCCGCTGTCAGCTGACATGTCCGGAGAGCTGGTTTACTGATCCTGTGGTTGTGCTTCTCCATGTGTGGCTAAGTACGCTGGTTCTTATGGTGCTGCTGTGCCGTCTATTCCGTGGCTTGCAACTGTGATTTCACTGCAGGACATAAATGCCAACCTGAGCATCAGAGAAGCCTTGGCTCAGGAGGAAAGTTTCTTTAGAAGCAGACCTGTGAGTATGCAATTAGATCTTGTGAATCCCCCTTATCACTCTACATTTGCCCAAACTGTTCTGCAGCTCTTCTTCCTTGACCATATGTCTGACGCAATGGCACTGACAATGGGCATGACACAATGGCAATGTCAATGAGCATCGAAAGTGCACCCCTGAGCGAGAACGTGTCCCTGACTTCTCCTTTTGTTGCCCTCCTGCTCGAGGGTCTCCTTTCTGCTCCACGCTCTTGCGTATGAGAGTTTCTCTTCTCCCCGGAACCATCGTCCATGATGTGATATTTGTTGATCGGCACTTCCCTTGCCACCGTTCACATCTTTTCACGAGCTGCATCGCTTCAGCCTCTAATGTTTCATTCTTTCTTCTCGGAAGTTCCCCATCTTTTTTCCCCATCTGCCCACATTCTCAATTGACTGACTGGTCTTGTCCTTCAATTTTCTGGTAATGTGCTTGCGCTTATATATCGCCCAGTGCATGAAGCATGATAGCTTTACAATGGAAGAAAAAAATGTAAATGAATATGGCCTCCTGCAACTGACTCCCTGCCAATTCAGCCTCTGAGGGTTAGTTTTATGTTATGGGAAGTCGTTAGCAGGATTTTGCAGCAAATATTATCTCTTGAGAATCCAAAGGTTAGACATGTTGTAAGGAAGCCAGTTTCTTATCACTGTTCTAGCAGGGCAGGAGGTTTCGGAAATGAATGGGGGGCTTTCATTAGGGGTGTCAAAATGTTTTGTTTGCCTTCAACTTGGAGCCAATTTCTCACTTTGTTGTTCCGTGTTTATTTGTCTTTCCAGGTGTATCATGGCCTTGCGGACCGTTGCGGAGTACAGAAGCTTGGAGAAAAATTAAACGTTGTAAGTATTGAGAATTTGATTAAGTGGCATCTCACCAGACCCCTTTTGTTAATGATCCTTCTTTATCTTTTAGACACCGTAGTGCCTCTGCCTTTCTCCTTCCTACCCATACACCCAGCCAATCACCCCACCCTGACCTGCCTTACCCCATAGTTGACACCGGGCCATTGCTTCTGCCTCCGTTGGTGCCTTGTTTCAGTTGCTGACCCTCACATGCTCTTTGACAGCAGCCAATCATTGTGAGCATTGCGTCGAGTCACAATGGGCGACCCCACTGGTCCCTGCTTTTCCTTTGGCTTTATATTTAGAATCACAATGCCATTTCCATAACCATGTTTCTGACTGGATTGCTGAAGTCTGCTTTTATCGAGAATGCGGCTTCTGCTGTGTTTGAGTTCCCGTTCGCCTTACCCCCTCGTGGCACCAAGCCCACACCTTGCCCTCTCAGCTCTGCTTAATACCCGTATTACTCACCTAGGTCCTCACGATCTCCCAGGCCCGCTCAGCAGGTCGTAGATGTCAAAAACGCCCAGGAGGCCAAGGGGCCTACTGAAAGATATGTCCGGGCCTCCAGGTCCTGTCTGGGACGCCAAAGCATGCCACATCTTCCGTTGTTGGTTTGTGAATTGGGCGATGTTGTTGTGTTGTTGCATTGAGTGGGCTTTCACTTTTTTTTTTTGTTTTTTTCCCCAGCATGGATGGCAGCAAGCCTGTTCCCAACACATTTGCATGCCGTTGGCATTGTCTTTTGAAAAATGAAACACAATGTAGTTGTTATGATCCTGGCGATCTTCAAGTGCAATGACTCAAAGAAAGACAATGCCATTCCATTGCAACTGAAATGAAAGAACTTGGAAAGAGAAATGGACAAAGGAAGAAGGAGAAGATGTACAGCAGCAAAGATCCCTCTCCAACTCGCCACCATCTCCAACCTTCTTGAACTCCCCCAACTTCTTCTCAATAATAATAATAATAACAATGAAAGAATGAACCAGAATCAATGTCCGAATCCTATCCTTACTGCCAACCACGCACGAGGTCCACCATAGCCATCTCATCTCATGCACCTTCCTCCTTCCTGGTCAAGCAAGTGGCAATGGCGGACTAACGGAGCCTTTCTCTGATGTTGAAAAGACAAAGCAAAGCTGATATGCCCCTCCTACCATGGCCGCCATGCCTATCACTACCCCGCAGTCTTCCTTGAAGAAGCCAACCCCAACTGGGGCCTTCCAGGTGCAGCGCCAACCAAGGAGATGAAGATGCAGACCACCATAGCCAGGTAAGCACCCCTGCCACTCTCCTCCTTGCTCACCGTCTTCTTCCTCCTACTGCTTCCCTGGAGCCTCCTCTTTGGTCCTCCTCCTTGGTCCTCTCCGCAACATCTATGGCAGAGGGCCAAGCCTGCCTTCTTCCTCCCAGCGCTCCTCCAAGCTGAGCGCTCGCTCGAGCGTCTGGTCGCCAAACTTGCCTGGTGCGAAATAAGGAAGAGGTCTTCACTCTCTTCCTAGATATTCCGGACAACTGCCTCTTTGGGCAGTGACTTTCCAGGCCGCTCGGCCTCCCAAGCTACTGGTACATTCCTCCTTTCGGAGGGAAGCATCATTGCAATCTGATATCCCTCACTGCAGGCCTAAGACATGGTCTACTGGACCGGTACCCCTAGACCCTAAGCCTACTGGACCCAAAAATGCTTTTGGCCTCTAAACGTACTAACTTTTGTCTTGTTCTGCCTACCTACCCACTACTTGAGAGTGTTTTCCATCCTACGCGGGCCTAGCCTACTACGAATTTCCTGCTGCAACCCCACAAAAGCACGGCCACAGGTAAGTGCCAGGCCGGAGGGCCTTTGCAGCATACAAGTACCCTGGTGGGTCACACACACACCCGAGCAATCATGCAGTCAGACAGACACGTGGAAACTCAGCAATCATGCACACTCACATGCTTCGAGATCTAAGCAGAAGCAGAATGCCTGAATATCAGCAAGTCACACAATCCAGCGACCAAACTCAGAAAACAGCAGAGTTCTCAGTCTCTGAGTTTGCAGGTCATTACGCAGTTATTGTTTCGGTGCAGTTGTATGAACGAATGTGAGAACGGGGGTGCATCACTCAGGCTTGTGATTTCTGCACGATGTGTTGTTCTGTGTTATGTTATTATTTGGGCCTTTTGGCCCGGGGTTGGGTCTTGGTTTTGTGGGTTTGTTTGCCCTCCCCCATTCCTCCCTTGTTTGGGTAGAATGGATGAATGGGGTTGGGGGGCAAATTCTTTCCTTTCCTTCCTGCCTTGACGCCGTTGACGGTGGATTCCTTCCTGTCCTGCCTCCCTTCTCTTCCACCACCCGGCCTCTCTGATTGGTTATGACATACACTGGACAACTGTGTTTCCTGTGCAGATACTGGTACAACATATCCGTGGAATTCTTCCAGATCTCAAAGCACGAATCAACACTCAAATAGTGACATTGCAGAAAGAGCTGGCCTCGTATGGAGAGTTGACGGAGTCTAAGGTATAGTGCTGTAGCTTTTTTGGATGTACCAAGCTGTCGACCTTAGTGTTGTGTTGTTTATGCTAAGTGATACATGACACTAAAATTCATGATTCAATTGTGGCCTGAGATTGCTTCAGTATCAGTTCTACAGGCTTACAGAAGGCAAGGGAACTCTGTGTGTTTGTAGTTCTGAGGGGCAGGTGCACAGCTCTCACTTCTGTCATTTTATAGAAGAGTAATTTCCTTTATAAATCAACCAGTCAATCTATCCATCAATCACCCCGACCTGCACACACACACAGACATACAAGTAACCCTCCAACTTCTTTTTTTTATTTTTTTTTTAAATTTTATAAATTTGGACCATTTCTCGATTTATGCGTGTCATCCTTGCGCAGGGGCCATGCTAATCTTCTCTGTATCGTTCCAATTTTAACGGATGTCCCAAAGGACTAACCCTCCAACTTCTAATTCACTTCGCCCCTATATTTCCCCTGCTCCAAGTGACAACGACCCATCCTTTAATCCTTGATTGCACCCCCAGCTGCCACTCCGCAGAAGTCTGCTCTGGTGGTGAAATATACCGAGAGCCCTATTGTCTCTCCTCAGCTTCCCCTTCCTCCCTCCTCCCTCCCTTTTCTCATGTAGTACTTCTCCCTCCCACGATGTTGATGTTCTTGGTTTGTTTACTTGACTGACCCTCTGTGTACTGCACCCTGACATGGCGTGTCCCATTTGCCGACACGGGCTGGAACAGCAATGCCTATATAGTTGTGGTCTGCATGCATGTGGGAGCGACGTAGCCTGTGACATCTGTCTTCGTCGTGCCACTCAACGCCACAGTCCACTCCTGAACCGGACCTGTCCGCTCTGTGGGGTTGGCCACTTACCATAGGCCACACCTGTTCCTCGACTCAAATTCCCCTGCAACCCAAACACTGACTGGCCTCTACTGTCTTCACCTAAAAATAACGCCGTGGCGTTATATTCAACTTACCCTTATAAAATCAGATATTTTATTTTTACTCACTTTTGTTCGAATATAACACTCCTTCCAATATAATGCCTGGTCGTTATGTCTGAATGTGCCGTGGGAAGAGTGCCTTGTAGAGGGAGTATACATGGGTTTTGAAGGGGGGGAAGGGCGGTATATATGGGTTTTGAAGGGGGTTGAAAGGGTTTTTCGCTTCCAAGGGGTATGTTTTGGTTTGATTCTTTGTTTTCATTTCTTATTTCCGAATTTATAATGAATTCTGAAGTAACCCTCGGCCAAAAGTTGGTTGCATTACAATCCTAGACAACATCTGTTTTTACGGAATTTTTTACTTTCATTTTTTTGAATTATTGTGGCCTCAAAAGCTGCTACCAATTTACTGAATAAAACGCCCGGGCATCATAAACGAATATAAGGTATACATCACCCGGGCATCATTTTCGGCTGAAGACGATAATGCCATTCTATGGCGTCTGCCCTGGCGGTGTGTACTGAGAAAGAACCCTGTATTTCCGATTTTCCACTGTTTTGAACTCCTTCCCCCCCCTTTTTCTTTCCTTCCTCGCTCCCCTTGTGTGCTACTAGTAAATGCGTATGAATGAGCATCATTACAAGAACAGACAAAATATAAGCTGAAGATTTGCTGAAAAATGGACACGACTTTTCCTCCCCCTTTGCCTCCTTTCATAGTGTGCAGGTGGGCCGTTATGGCACACGGGGATGTGGGCAGCGTGCGCTGAATGACAAACAACGCGGCAAGCCTTTATGTTAGAGGCACACCAGAAGGCGAGCTGCAGGAAGGGATAAAAGGGGTACCCAAAAGAAAGTCGAAGTAAAGATAGTGAAGGAAGGACTGTACAAGGAAAATGCAGTATAATGGACTTGTTGTTTGCTATTAGAGTAAGACTGTTTCAATGTTCTGGTTTTTCTCATCTTAGTGTGCCTAATTGTCTGCTATAGAGGTAAAGCTGTTTCAATTTTTTATCTACTTATCCAGGTCCAAAAGGGGCTGCTGTGGTGACAGTTTTTAACACACACACATATCAGGCGGAGGTATGCAGTGTCCGGCAGAGACTTCACTACCCCACCCCCCCGGCGATTTTTTTAAATATAAAAATGGGGAGGGGGAAAAACACCCCTCCCGCCATACAGTGAAAAAGGAAAACCGAAAAAATGTCAACTTCCGTATTCAGCCAAACGCCAGGGGCAGGGGGGGCGAATGTTCGGACATTCAGGCTGGCATTGTTGGCCGAACTCTAACAGTGATCCCGCTGATTCTGCTTATATTTTTCTTTTTTGTTTTTGTATTTTATATCTCTATATTCTAGGCCACCAGAGTGGCCCGGGACCACTTGCTCGGCCGGGCCAAAAGAATATATCGTACAGGCGGTGCATCACGTGTGCGCAAGTTGCACACGCGCGCCGCATAGCGCATGTGCACACGTGCACGCGTACGCGATGCGGCGCATTTACAAAAAAAAAAAAAAAAAAAAAAAAAAAAAAGGGTAGGCCGTGGTAACCAAAACTGTACGTGCACAGAAAAAAAATTTTTGGGGCCACTTCGTACTACGCATTGGATCTATTCTCTTTGCAAAAGCCCCCCTGCAAAGAATCAGCAGGGTTCCCATGCTTTTGGAAGGATGTTCATTGAACTGCTGGATTCCACGAGCAGGCCAGCAATTCAGGTCTGTGTTCCAAGAGTTATGGGTTACGAAAGTACCACAAACACTACAGTGGTTGTCTCGTTTTTTTGTTTTTCCGTTTCTTACGTGCAGTGGCCCTTAGGGCCTCGACTCGTGACAAAAGAAAAACATGTGGTTTGTATGGTTCCAGTTTCTAGGAGAAGATTTATTCTAGTTTTGCACATTTGGTGAGTAGTGGAGTGAAGCCCTGAAAATCACATGCCGAGTTAGTAAGTCAGTAACCCATAACTGCTGAAACATGGATCTGAATTCGAAGCTACACCATGTATAGCTGGCCTGCTCCCTCCTTACTACAAGTCCAGTGACTACCCTTCTCCTGCGGACGGGACCCTTGGACCTTTTGAAGTACCGGCAGGGGTTGCCTGAATAATTTTAAAGGGCTCTCTCTCTCTCTCTCTCTCTCTCTCTCTCTCTCTCTCTCTCTCTCTCTCTCTCCCTCCCTCTCTCTCTCTCTCCAGCGTGTATACACATCACAGTTGCCTTTTTCTCTCTCTCTCTCTCTCTCTCTCTCTCTCTCTCTCTCTCTCTCTCTCTCTCCCCCTCCCTCTCTCTCTCTCTCCAGCGTGTATACACATCACAGTTGCCTTTTTTTTTTTGCATCTGCGATCAGCGCACCGTGCACCACACTTCATCTATGCACTGCGCAGCGCGCACCACACTGCACAGCACACTTCATCTATGCGCCGCAAGTATGTAATATCTCACACCTGCGGTGCAAGTGTGCAGTGCGCCATGCGGTGCGGTGCGCTGGTCATTGATGCGCGGAAAGAAAAAGAAAAACATAGAGAAAAAAAGAAAAGAGAAGAAAAGAAAAGAAAAGAAAGCGGCTGTGATGTGTGAGAATGTGCACGCGCGCGCGCGCGCGCGAGAGAGAGAGAGAGAGAGAGAGAGAGAGCAAACAAATAGCTCCTTAACATTAACAAGAAAACCCCTGCGGGTTATCCGAGAGGCTCCTGCACAGAATTAGCAAGGGCCTCCTCACCATGAACGAGGCAATGTTCATACCCATGCTAGGGTGCACTTCGTGCCTAAAGAGAACCCAAAGGCAAACATGAAAAGAACTGCGGGAAAATCAATCTTCGCTTCGGGATTGGTTTCGGAGCTCCCATAGTAGTCTCCTGTGGACCCTCGGTCAACCACAATGAAGGGGAGCAAAGTATCTGGGTTCCAAATTCTCGTTTGCAGATGCGACCATGAAATCGAACGTTTGGAGGCCATCAAGGCTGACTCTAAAATTCGCTTTATGATAGACAAACAGGGCCATGCATTTTAAAAATAACAATTTTGTCATGGCACGCCAAGTATATATGGTGTTGATTCACATTAAGGTCCGTGTTTCAGCAGCTATGGGACCACTGAGCACGCAATTTTCTGGGCAGTAGCAGGCAAACTCACCACGTGCTTTTCAGGGCTTCCCTCCACTACTCACCAAATGTGCAAAACTGGAATGAATCTTCTGCTAGAACATCAAACCACACGCCGCCATATGTTTTGTCTTTGGTGCAAGTGGTGACGAGTGGAGCAAGGCCCTTAGGGCCACTGCTCGTAGGAAACGAAACAAAAGAAAGAGAGGAATGAATCTTCTGCTAGAACATTGAAGCCGCCATATGTTTTGTCTTTTGCGCATGTGGTGACGAGTGGAGCAAGGCCCTTAGGGCCACTGCTTGTAGGAAAACGAAACAAAAGAAACAGAGAGCTACGGTAGTAAGTAGTCGTAACTTGTAATCCATAACTGCTGGAAAACAGACCTGACTTCAGATCCAGAACATATATTGCTGACCTGCTTCGCTCTCCCACAAAATTTGTTGGATGTCTCTTGAGATGTTGGGACCCTTGCAGATGCATCTGCTGGGGTCCTTTGGGAAAAAGACTATTCAACAAGGAATACGTGGCCCCAATTTTTTTTCTGTGCCCTTAGATTTTTAGAAGGGAGGGGCACCATTGGCTACCTCAGCCAGCCCTCCGATTTTTTTTTTACCCCCATTTATTGGGGTGCGCTGCATCACGTGTGCGCGCATGCTTGCGCGTGCTCTATGCAACACACGTGCGGAGCTCGCGCGCACGTGATGCGCCACAGGTATGGAATATATACGTGTAATTTTGATTTCCAATTCGGTAAAGAATGTCTTTGCGACCATCAGGCAAAGGTTGTTTATTTTATTAGTCTGCATATCATAGTTTTTTCTTTTCAAGACTATTGATTTTTGTGTTTTCTGGGACCTTGCCTGGCGGTTGTCGACCGGGCTGCCCGACCAACCAAGCGCAGGTGACCGGGTTGGTACCCCAGTCTATATTCTGTTCATATAAGAAACAGGCTATCTAGTATACCATTGTTTCACTGTTTCCACAGTGCCCCGTCTATCACCTCCAAACAAAGCCTGTACTGAATTATGTCACAGCATTGTGTCTGACTGTAAACTTTTGTTTCAGGCTGGTCAAGGTGCTCTGATGTTGAACATCCTGACGAGATATTCTTATGGTAAGTGGGTTCTCATCATTGTTTGGTTATCGACTCTGGAACCTCCACTATGTTGAACATGCTGACGAAATATTCTTATGGTAAGTGGGTTCTCATCATTGTTTGGTTATCGACTCTGGAACCTCCACCTCCCTCCCTCTTCCAAATGCTATTCACGTTCCTTATTCAGAAATTTCCTCTCTCCCTGTCGAAGCTTCTCATGCCTTTCTTCCAAACGTTCCGCGGACCGCAACCTCCCACAGATCCCACAATCCTTGCTGCAGAGATGCTATTGTGCTCGTTGTAACCTCCTCTCTCCTCTTCCAAACTTCCTCGATTTCTCCCAATATACCTATGTATTCTGAGAAGTTTCCTTCTGTCCCTGAACCTCCTCCGCCTCGCCAACGAACCATAATTCCATCCATCCTCTGAACCTTGCAGCTTTCAAGCATCCTTAGCGTGCTACCACTGAGCCTTATCCCCCATCTTGGTTCTGAGCTTCTGAACCTTCATCGACCTCCAAAATCTTAGCATCCACTCTTTTTGTAATCTCCGTCCTCCTGGTAAACATCGTTTCCCCTGAAAAGTTCTCCATCTTTTGCTTTCCTTTTTGTGGGTGCGCTTAGTCATCCCTTGCCCAAACCTTCTGCAAGGAAAATGAGCAATAGCGAAATAGACAGAATTTCAGATTGCAAAATCACATTGAAAGCCGGATAGTCGAGAGCTGTCTAGAAAGCTGAAATGCACTGATATTAAACCAAAGGAGAACCGAAGCACCGAACTTAAATGTCAATGAAAGCCTTCTTCCGCCACCAGCAACAATGCGCTCAAAGCTCTTCCTCCTACCTGGCGCTCATATCGTCCAGACTACTATCACACAGCTATCCTACTAGCCTACGAATTGACAAGCAACTAGTTGACGTCAGCAGATGAAACCAAAGTGCATGCAGATGTCGCTGATGGAAACCATCGCCAGGACCAGGTACGTGCTCTCATGTCACCCCATCACTCGCCCTCTCTCGCTCATCCTGGTCTTCTCCCCCACGCTTCTCCTTCGACCAAGGACCACCGCCATCCTCCACTGACCATCCAAACCCAAGCCTGGCTATGGGGGCTGGGCTATGGCGCTGCCTGCTTGCAGCGCCCACCGTGTGCATTCTTGCACCTAGCACGCTCTGCCAGGCGCAAGCACACGCTCCAGGAACGCTGCCGCATGCACGTCCAAGTGCCCGAATGCCCTCTACTTGGCCAGGCACTTTGCAATATGCAAAGTGGCCTGGCTGGTTGGCTGCCTGGCCTGCCTTGCATGTGCCCAGTAGCTTCAGGTTGGGCCAAAGTGTCTGCACCCGGGCCCATTCAGACAGTGGCCTGGGACTGAATTGGTTAGGCGCAAACGTGCGGTGTTCCCTGCTTTCCCTGTGTTGCTGGAAGAGCCTAGAAGGCTCACAAATATGTCTGATTCTCACGAGCAGGGCGGATGTAACCAACTGGCTCGTGGCAACTCTCTGGCGCCCACCAAAGCTTTGCAAAATTGACGAAGTCAGGCCTCATTGAAATCCGAGGCCCTCTGTTCACTTAGGGCGGGCACGTGCTTGCTGTAAGGGCCCCTCACGGGCACGCCGAGGACTTAAATCCTCGCACATTCACGTATCTGATCCCCCTCCCATGCTACTCTAGACCACCACCTGCAGCTTGGAAGCATCCTCCTCCATCATGGTTCTGAATGTCCGCCTGTCTTCAAAACTTTAGCCTCTTGTAATCTTCCCCATCCGGTGAACATGTTTTCCCTTCTCCATCTTTTGCTTTCCGTTTTCTGGATGGGCTACCATCATGACTTGCCCGAACCTTCATGTCTCTGATCCCATCCTATGCCACTCTAGACCACCACCTCCCATTTTACGCGCGTCCTCAAGACTTTTACGAACCTCAGCCCCTCCACGCGTTGACGAGGTTCTCTCTGCTGCTTCATCTCTGGATCTAACTCTCTTCCAAGCATGTCTCCATCTGTTCTGATCCTCTCTCCCTCTCTGCTTCCCTTTTTAATCCCTCGTGCCTTGTTTTCTAAAGGTCTATCCCTGCCAATTTTTGACCTGTTCCAAACTTCTTCCTGTCTCCCTCTTCTCAATCTCTGTGGCTCTTTCCTGGTGTGAGCCTCTTTACTCCCTTTTGTAAGCATCTTCCATGTCTATCGACGGACCTTCCACTGTTCTAAACCACCTCCTCTGTGCTTCAAATCCAATTCCTTCTCCACTTGCCTATGTAAGCTCTTGGCCTGTCCAGCCTCAAATGCATCACCCATCATATTTTTGTTTGCGGGCGGAGCTGCAACTGGTAGTCTACTGCATGCTGAAAACCTGATAGCATAATGCTGTCCAGGATTGCACTCTGCCAACAACCAACACCTATCAGCAGATGGAGCCCCCTTGTGGAGGTCCTCATGATCAGCATGCATAAGGCACCGGACTGGAAGCAGAATTGAACAAGCAAGTGCTCACATCAAAACAGGCACAGGCAATGTTGAAGTCTCTTTGATGATGAAATCCTGCTTCTCGCCTCCTGACAATCAATACAATAGAAACAGTTCTTGGTGGTCTCACTACCAGCATGTGCGATCATCTAGTCTATCTGCTATCCTAGCATGAATGCATGGTCTTTTGTGGTGAGCGTTCTTCCTTCACCATGGCCTGCAATCGGCATGCCATTTGTAGGGGGTGTATGGTGGGCGTGCTCAATGCCAGCCGTCGTGGCAATTGTTGTACTCAGAATACCCAGCTAGGTCTTCCATGTGTTCATCCCCCTAATCCTTACAATGTATGTCCTCTCTGCTGCCAAGGACAGACTTATTCTTGAGCCTTTTTCGTATCCTCTCCTTTGCCTTCATCTTCGCTCCACACTCTGTACTTTCCCTTATTTTCCCTTCATCGTTTGTTGTTTGTCTTCTCTCCATCTCTCGTCCCTGTGTTTATCCTCTTGCCTCTTACTCTGCCTCTTTCTCACAGCGCTCAAGTGGGCCGTTATGGCACACAGGGATTCGGGCAGCTTGCGCTCAGCTTTCAATGTGGCAACCCTTGTACGTGAGAGGCATGGTGGAGGAGCTCAAAGCAGAATGAGAAAAATGAATGGTTTTCGTGGCCCTTCATGGTTGCATCCTTGCCGACCGCCGACCCCGACCGCCGACCGTATTGCAGCTGACCAGTAGGGCCGACCGGTCGGYGGTCTGCCGACCAGTCAGAAAACAACCATCCACTATTTGTTTTCCAGATCTGAGTTGGAAGCTGTACTCGCTTGCTGAGTACAGCCCACATCCGCTGAGAAACTTTTGGGGATGGGGGGGTTGGGGGTGGGGTGTATAGGGGGATATAGGGGGGTATAGGGGTGGTATAGGGGGTATTGGGGGGGGTTATGAGGGTGTTGGGTGCTGGTTTGTGGGTGTTGGGGAGGTGTATGGGGGTATTTGGGGTGGGCATGGGGGTGTTCGTGGGGTTATTAGGGGTTCTGGACCCATTTTTTTTTTATTATTATTTTTTTTTTTGCGGGGTGCCGACGACCCCCGACCGGTAGGTGCCGACCAGCCGACCGGTCGGCGGGTCGGCAGCCGACCAGTCAGGGGTCGCCGACGGTCGGCGTGTGCAACACTGGTGCTGTTACATGCTGCGCCTGCACAGGAGGGCCATTTTCCAGGCCCTGCGTCGTTCAGGCTGGAAGCCTGAATTTTGGGCTCAAGGCCTGGAAATAAGGGTCTGCAGACTCCATGACAGTTCACCCCAAAAGCCTGACATCCGGGGCCCACAGGCCCTGCATCGTTTCAGCCAAAAAAGGCCTGAGCCTTTTCAGCCTGAAACTGAGGGYTATTTCCGGGCCTGCAGACCCCATGACGGTTCAGCCCAAAAGCCTGACATCCGGGGCCCACAGGCCCTGCATCGTTTCAGCCRAAAAAGGCCTGAGCCTTTTCAGCCTGAAACTGAGGGYTATTTCCGGGCCTACAGGCCCCATGACGGTTCAGCCCAAAAGCCTGACATCCGGGGCCCACAGGCCCTGCATCGTTTCAGCCTAAARAAAGGCCTGAGCCTTTTTAGCCTGAAACTGAGGGCTATTCTCGGGCCCTCGTCAGACCAACCTGCCCTGATACAAGCACATTCGGGCATTCGCAGGAGTGACCTGCCCTGAAGCTTCCTCAAGGGCTATCACGTGCAGGCATTGGCAAGAGCAGCCTCCTGGACGGGCCAGCACTATATAAGACTGGCCCGCCCTACAGGTTGGGACAGACGAGAGGAGACTGCCAGGCACTCAACGTGCACTTCTACAGGAGGCAGTAGTCTTCAGGATTCGGCTGCAGTAGTAGAGTAGCGTTAGCAGTAGTCTTCAGCGCTGGGCGCTAGTAGCAGTAGACTAGAGTAGTGGAGAGAGGAGGCTGGCGGAGGCCAGGGATGCTTACCTGTGGCGCCATAGCTCCAGCTTCGTCTTCGAGGAACCTGCAGCAGAGCGCCACTCGCCGAGTGACTTACCTGAGGCGCCATAGCTCCAGCTCGCAAGCGAGGTACCTGCAGCACAGCGCCACCATCACTGGTTAGTACCTGACATCCAGAAGAGAGAGAGAGAGTTCTTCCTCTTCCTCCTCTCAGTCCACCATCTCTCTCCTACCCTCTCACTATCTGACTTCACTGCTTCGGCAGCCTACGAGAGTGAGAGTGGTTTACTTGCAGGGCTACAGGTAGGGGTTGTCACGGGCATTGGCCCAGGATCTGGTTCGACATTTTTGGGCAGACATTGGTTGGACTTCGGCAAGGGACTATTTTGAACTTCGCTATTGCGATCTTAGTCTTCTCCCTTGCCTCCATCTTCGTCCTTCCTTCCCCCCTCCATCTCTCATCCGTGGTATCTCCCCATGTGCGTGTATGCAGGAGGGACCTTCGTCTATGTATGCGGTCCCTTCCCTCCCTCTCACATGTGTGATGTATGATGGGATGTCGTAACAGTCCAGGTCAAGTCAGGACTTATCTCYAAGTCTTCCGCTGTGCTAT